TCGCAACTAAATCAATTTTTTTGATGCTACTTTTTCCTAAGCAAAAAGCACTACCAGTACCAGATTTAAAAGCACATCAATTGTTTTACTGTGCTGGACATTACAAATTTCTACTCGTTACTGTTTGGTGAAGTTTAAATAAAAAAATGGAGTTTATTAAATTGTTTAATATAATTTAATTGATTTGCTTTTTCTCCTGGCACAACATAAAGAAAATTGTTTTATTTCTGAGACGAAAACAATTTCTATATACTGATTGTACCAAATATAAACTTTTATAACATTTAATAGGTCAAAATTTTGTTTTCATCTCAGAATTTCAACCGTTACAAATTCGAATGGCAGTTTCAGTAGACTGGATATGAGTTCGTTTAGTATCCGGCCAAATCGGCCATCGTCTGGTCCATTTCGTCAGCAATGGCTTTATACTTGCTCTTCTCGTCAACGAGTTCATCTAGAAATGTAAAACTGGCTTTTTAGAAGTATGACAAACTCTCAACATGCGCATCGTAATTTGTAGTCTTGAAATGACTGAGGTCTGCTGAAATTTTAATACTTTACCTTAGCAAACGTCTGAAAATAAACTTAACAAAATTATAGAAAAAAAAAGGGGGTAACGAAAATTAAATAAAACAAAATAAAATTTGAACTTAATTGTATTATTTGTGTACATATATTACATACATAAATAAAAACACATAATAAATGATAAAAATACTCTGAAGATGTTAAAATAAAAGAGTAACTCAACAATACACCTTCTGCATTACCATAACACCCTGTACTTGACAAACGGTGTGAGAATATTTATCTGATAGTGAGTCGCTATGCTGGAATAACCGTGATAAGGAAGATCAACTACAGGGAGCGCAGAGAGGCACAAGAAGAAAGAAGGGAAATTTAAAGGATGAGCTCAACGAAGGCAGTGTCCAAGTCGTCTCCAATTTCCTTGTAGCGTTCTTTTTCAGCCACCAGCTCGTCTGAAATTGAATTGAGTGTCAGATGTACCGTCATAACGAGAAGCTTAGCAACACTTGAAATCTGGGTTATTACTTACTTGTTACTTGATCTGAACTTTGAATCAGGAATTTTTAATTTTTTTTGTTCGTATGCAAAAATTATCGACATTTGCTTCAATTTTATGGATTTGAATCGTGATTTAATTTTTTTTTTTTTGAAATTCAGAACTGAAGAGAAAACAGAAATATTCGATATATTTTTTACAGTATTAAATATTAATGATTTTGATTCTTGACTTTATATATTTTTATTTTTTTTAAGTATACAGGGTGTCTTATTTAAATGGCATATCACCGAAGTAAGATCAAATTCAATTGTTTATTTTCAGATATGACAAAAACCTATTTTTAATGGAACACACTGTACGTTTCTACTTATTTCTATAAAATATTTTCTTACTATTATACTGAGACTGTAAAACTATTGGACTGCTCTTTAATATTAAGGCAGACATAAGAAATTAATTAATTGTTTACCCCCTCCCCTTCACGTTTTTTTGCAACTGGGGTTGCCTCAGTAGCCAACACTGCTGGCTTATCGCAGTCTGTTGGATATATCTCCCTTCTTACTAGAGTACGACCTATCAAATCTTATCTCATTGCAATTGTTAACAAAAGAAAAAAATCCAATTACAAACATTTCCCGTTATATTTGAAAAATGACAAACTGGCAACAATGCAATTATTTTCATCACACCGTGTTCCGCCCCAGAATATCCAATTTAACATCTATCAGAAAATCCTTATAAGAGTTAGAGGGTTCGTCAATTAACTAATTTAATTAAAAAAAAAAACACCCATACAGGGGTCGGCATAAGTCAGGCAACCAATTTGCATTAAGAGCATTAATTTTCATTCTGAAAACACGTCTACTCGACGAACACGTGTTATCATATTCATGACACAGACACAACTGTCTGAAACACAAACATGCTTCGTTTTAATCTTTTTCGACAGCTTTGTCAGACTTATGAGCGTTGCCGGACTTATGCCGATTTTTCGAGAGCGTTGCCTGACTTATGGCGACCCCTGTATAAGACGAATTTTAACATTTAGCTTCAAAAATGCAATCTGCAATAAGTAATTACATGTAATTTTTTAAGTAAAAGACTGACTGCAATATGAAAAATTTGAGACTACCATTTTTTAAAGCTCGTTGCACTTTCAAATTTTATAAATAGAAATTATATTAAAGATATAAATTAACACGTAGTTAAAAAAGCTATGATACGCTTCAGTGGTTTGGAATGCAATTGGAAAGTGAACTGCAAGATCATAAAAAATGTATGTTATGGTCGGGTTCCATACGAAAAGTTTAAAAAGATAACTAGAGAAGTATACAGTGTGTCTTCGGTTAAAGTGGACATGCAAATGTTTTATTTTACAAAAAATTTTGCATTTTTAAAATACAGATGCCATGAACTTTAAAATTTGCTTATATAGTGTTCAATAAATTGTGCAAGATCTGCCTTCATTTTTGACATGAGAAAATGCTATTAAGGAAAATTGTTATATCAAAGTGGACAAATTGTCTTTGTTCCAAACTAAAAAAGAATCTGGTAAAATGAAGTGAATATTGCAGTGAAGCATATTTTTGTTTTTTACGACACCCAACAATTTTCCCGAGTCTTTGAATCGTTAAAAGTTTTTTAATTAGTGACATTTTTACGATACTTTACGTTCAAGGTTAATCGTTATTCTTGCACAGGAGCTTTCTAGAGTATTTTCAAAATTGATTTTTATTTCGCCCAACAATCTCTTTTACCATACAGTATTTTTCAGGCTACTAAAATATATGCGGTTTACTCCTGCATCATCTTCAGATCTTTTTCCTCAGCATACAAATTTGAAATTCTCTGCGACAATCTTAGTTAAAAAGCTAGCCAAATTTAGACTTTTACGTAAAATGGAAAATAGAAATATTTTTCCTTTTGTTCAGTATAAATGGATATTGTATAAGATATCCAAAAGTACATCATTTTATAAATATGTGACGCTAATACTGGTTTAAATTTTTGATACGTGACGTAACAAGATTATTTTATTTCTTCAGGTCTTCTGTATACAGGGTGTTAGAAGTTTGACTGCCTTAATTTTAACAGACGATAGAATACATTAAAATAAACAAAAAAATCTTATATGACGTGAGTCCTAAACTCAACTATTTCCAAGAAAAAATGATCAAAATCTCCAACTTGATGTACAAATTTGATTAATTAAGGATTATTGACATAACTGCGTGCCTAGAATATAATAAAATACAATGTTTATCACTTTTTTGAATTTCTTTATGCTTAATTCTAAAATAATTTGCGTTGTAATAAATTTAAAATTCGATAAAATTCATATTGAGCAATGCGACAAAGGCGCGGCGGATAATACGAGGTACTAAGCTGTCCAGTAATTCGCAATTCAGTTGGTATCTGGAATTGGACCGTGTCCAAGTGTTTTTTAACAGACGATAGAATACATTAAAATAAACAAAAAAACCTTATACAGGGTTGATAATTCAAAAGTAATAAAGAATTCCCCGACTCATAAAAAAAAATCCAAGTCACTTGTAGTTCATTTTTACATACTAATTGATGTTTATGCATTAAATTTTTTCTCGACGATTCCACAATCTTTTTTACCAAAAAACATCTTATAAATCTTTCAAAACCACAAACAGTTTTCTCTTTCAAGAATCCAGGGTCGGTTTTCACAAAATTTCCAGTTGCAAACATCAAATTCCCTAATAATGAATATTTTAAAAATTCCCAGATTATTCCATTTTTTATGAAGAATAACGAATTCCCTGACTTTTCCCAGTATTCCCGGCCGTTATGACACGGGCCCTAAACTCAACCATTTCAGTTATAAATTGATCAAAATCTGCAACTTGATGTACAAAAGTTCGATTAATTAAGGAATATTGACATAACTGCGTGCATAGAATACCATAAAATATGTGTATCACTTTTTTGAATTTCTTTATGCTTAATTCTAAAAAATAATTAGAATTTAAAATTTGATAAAATTTATATCGAGCAATGTGACAACAGCACGGCAGATAACACGAGATACTAAGCTGTCCAGCAATACGCAATTCAGTTGGTATCTGGAACTGGTCCATGTCGGAGTGTTTTTTGCATAACACTATTTCCTTTTTCAGCGAATACGCGAAAATTAGATTCGAAGGTATCGTGCATGCATCGAAAATGGTGGTGGACATTTTGAGCATACGTTGTAGTTTGTTTTGTATTTATGCATTTAAAAATTACTGAATTTTGCTTTTTGATAAGTACCTAAATTATTTTTAATACGTATGATTATTTGGATGACACGAATCTTTGGGTACTTCAATTATATCTTTTTCAAATTCATAATTAGATTAAAAGTTAAGTTCCTCTTTAAGGAGATCCATAATTACTAAAATTCAAGCTAAAATTTAAGCACAATACTATCTTCGTACTACAAAATCGATACATTTTATTTTATTTATTAAAAAACTGGAAAACAATTATCTTGAAATTTACTAAATGTTTCACAATAGTTCCCAATATTAATACTCGCTGAATTTAGAAAACTGTTGATCTTACGCCCCTGTAATATACAAATTTTTTGTTCATTTATGATTACTCTATCTCGTGCCGAAGTAATGGCAGTCAAACTTCTTACATCCCGTATAACAAGTGTCTTGTATAGATTTTCACCCAGATTTTCAGTAAACGATTTTTACTTGCGGTTATTCGGTTATTATCACTGCACAACACTCGAAAACAACAATTAAAAAAAATACATGCAAAACAAAAAGGGAAAAAATAAAAAAACAAATATTAAAAACTTTTATATAATTAATTATTAGTTTAACTAAATAAAATACATAGTAAATATTAGAATATAAACAGGCTTTAAAATAGAAAATTTTATTTATGCCGCTGGGCGGGTGTCACAATACGAGACAATAGCAAAGGAATCTTAATAAGGATTAACCTTGTTCAACTGCAAATTAATATATCTAAATAATCCTATCGCCGGTAGTTCATTCAAACAACGTTCATGTATTACCATAATGCGGTACATTTGAACTAAACATTCTTCGTAATGTCACCACTGACATTCAAACAATTTTCCTTTGCCTATCTCGTACCGCACCCACGCAGCCCTATAATACTCAATTGAGAAAAGTAAATAGAACGCTGTCGCACACAAAGGGGCCTACGGATCTGACCTGTACGATAAACCCGAAACCTCACTCCATCGATTAATTGCAAACATATGCGACAGAACCGCGAACGGCCCCTCTGTGGTCAAAATAAATTACAAAAAAATAATAATTAAAAAAAATAATGACTAAACTTCGTGGAAGAATGTACAATATACAAAAAATATCCCCGATGAAAAAAAAAATGCATTAACGAAGCATAAGTATTGGGCCCCTTTTCAATATGGCAGTGTTGATCGGTTTCAAGTAATATTGCAGCTGGCGGAGATCAACAAAACAAACGAAAATAGAAATAGAGGAAGGAAACAATGGCCACGCTTCGTTAACATATGTGAAGGAATGAAACAAACGCCTAACTATCTATGTGTGCTGTGAATCTACCGTTAACTTTGCACTTTCAAGACGCGCCGACGAAAAAGGTGCTATTCGTGATCTCCCACTAAATTTATTTGTTTCATAACAAAATATGAATTAATCACGGAACTGTTTCCTTCGACAAATATACAACTCAATTTTGGTATTTATGTGAAAGTTAATTCAATCACACCAAATAGACTAATCACTATTATGTTAACTGTAACTTTTGTAAAAAAAATACTTTATCTCAGTTTTTTATCTGAAGACCAAAAATAGCACCGAAAAGTCCAGCGCGCCCGCAAGGGCTATTCTGTTCCCTCAAACAAAATATAACAAGGAAAAATAATAAGCGAAACGATTTTTTGCAGCGATATAAGCACCAATAAATTTTTGGAAAAGTTTGATACGCGCGGCACGAGCACTAGCTCAGTGTGGTTTTGAAATTGAGAGTCCGACAAATGTTGTGCGGGAATGCATGAAACAAGGCAGGAATGTGTGTTTGTCGTGTGTATGTGTGAGGGCGGCCTTTCGGAAACGGGGAGCGTTTTACATGTTTTGGATGTCGTGCAATGTCATCTCCATCTCGTCGGCCAGCATTTTGTTCTTTTCTTTTTCCGTCAAAAGGTCGTCTGCAAGGCACAGGGTTATTAGGCAACACACAAAACGAAAATAATACAAAAAAGGAAATAATAAAAATGATGCGTTTGCGGTATTAGTGGATTTAGTGTTTTTCTAAGGCGTCGCTCAAGACTGAAGTTTCTCAACATGTAGGACTTTATTAAAAACTAATAACATTAAAATTTTAAGACTGTGCTAATAAATCTTGAGAAATTTCAGGCTTGAATATCGAAATCTAGAAAGTTATTCATATTTGAAAAAATACAAAAAAAAACTATTTCTGTAAAGCTATTAAGTTGATTTAAATTAATTCTAAGAAAAATCTTAAAATCTAAAAGTTCAGAAAATTTTTAAAATAAATTTGAATGAGCTGAACATCTTTAAAGCAAAAATATGAATTATAAAGAGTATACAGGATGTACCAGGATTAATTGGCCAAACGTGAAATTTCAAATCGAGTAGTCAAAAAAAGAAATGTCCAAAACCATTTTGTTTTCTAAAATATATCTGGACATTTGATGCACTGATGGAACTAAAAATATTTTATCTAATTAAAAGTAAAAATCTACTGAAACGGTATATAAATACATTCTGTCAAACAAGTATCTGTAATTATCCAATAAATCTTCAAAATTTATTTTGTCTTCTTAAAAATAGGCTTCATTTGAAGCAATACACTTTTTGCAAGGAACAACCCAGTAGTGAAAGCACTATTTAAAAGCGTGTTACGATATGGATTTAACCCTTCCAGCGATTTTCGTTTCTATCGACCCAAAACGTGTTCAACGAAGTGATAATTTGAGTTTGAGAAAGGAAAAAAGTCAACAGGGAACATATCTAGCGAATACGGTGGCTGTACGATGACATTTCGTCAAAAATTCATTGTGGTGCAAAGTCCAAGAATTGTTCTTCCATAAATCTGGTCTTTTGCGGCGGATACTACTTCTCAAACCCCTAGATAATATTCCTTGTTGACCGTTTCTCCATCGGGAAGGAATTCTGTCAATTACTGAATTTTGATCGACTTTGACATGGTTTTTTGGTTCCGGTTCATTAAAAAAGCACCATTCTGAAGCTTTTGGTTCATTTGCATGCCAAACTCGTAAACCCATTTTTCGACACACGCTTTGATGTGTTGCATGATTGTAGAGTCCGAATTAGCTCGTTCAAGTATGACTTGCAATGCTCTTTTTGAAGAACATTTAGCTTCTTTAGAACCAACCATGCTGCAACATGTTTCATACCCAAAAAATCACCTAAAATGGTGCGAACTGATTAGTGAGATATGTTTTGTTCATATGTCAGCTCTTTCAAACTATAATGACGGTTTGTAAGCACCATTTCCTGCACTTTATCGATGTTTTCTTCAGATGAAGACGCCGAAGGATGACCACAACATGGCAAATCATCAACCACTTCTCGGACATGTTTGAATGCATTGTACCATTCGTATGTTTGAGTTTTCCAGAAAACTGGATTACCATACGCCATTCCCAACATTTTCAACGATTCAGTACAAGAAATTCCGTTAGTAGCGCAAAATTTTAGGCAAACTCATTGGTCAATAACATTATCCATAGTAAAAATCGCGGAACACACTTTAGGTGGACTAACAAAATTAAAAGCTGTAAAAAAACTACTCGACAGGTAGCTCTCAAACTTCGCGTCAAAGTAGAGCACAGTGCTATCAACTTCCCATCAAAAAAGAAATTTAAATCTACTTTACCTGGAATTTTTAAATGACAAACTCCGGATATTTTTTTGGTGGATTGTATTTTTTAAACAAACTGAAAATTTGTATGGAAATGATTTTTTAGATTTTCCAAAGTTACAATCCTATGAACTTTTTTTTTTTACTAAATTTTATAAAACACGGTAGATAATCAGAAAATTCACATATTCTGATTCTCTCGTGCGTTGGTAATAAATTTACGCGCAAAAAAAATGTTGAGATCAGTTTTGAGCAAATTAAAATTTAAAGTTTAGAAATTAATTCTGAAAAAACTTAATTTAAAAAAATATTTAAAAAAACTGTATTTTTACTATACACACTAGCAAATATGAATAACTTGTTCTTAATTGCGCCAAAGTGGTAAAACATATTTGATTAGATCAGTCAACAACAATCATAAACAAAACTTCAATTTTACCTTTCTACATCTTTTTTTTTTTAATTACGTACCTTCTAGTCTATCAACCTCCTTCTGGAGCTTTTGTACGGAACGTTCAGCAAACTCAGCACGAGCTTCAGCCTAAAGGGATGAGAAAAATATCATTAAATTGTTCAGATGGCTACGAATCAAAATTGACTGTTCTCAAAAAAGAAAAAAGAGAGAGACACCAAAATTTTATAAAATAAAAATTTACTATTTTCATCCTAAAGTGATACGAAACAATCAATTTTGATTTAGTGATACTATTAAGCTCTCATATTTTTTATACACACATCAAGAAGCCTGGTTACAAAATGCATTTTTTTAAAAATAGTTCTATATTCACAAATTAGTCAAAATAATATGATGTAATTAAATTAATAAGTACACGTTCATAAACTTCTCTGGTTATTTGTAAACATAGTCCTATTTATTTCATAAAAAGAAAAAACTTAACAAAAAATCTAAATAAAATAAGACGTCAACCAAAACATGCAGAAACACCAATACTTACAGGAAGTGGAAGTGTATTTTTTTTTTACAAGCACCCGTGACAATGCCCTTCGAAAGAACAACTTAAATATACATATGACCTTGTTTGTCCATTCAAAATTTTGATACGGAAAAGCCCATATCAACAGAAATGATCATAAAAAAAATTCTGAATGGACTATACGTACGTGAAAATCTTGAATGGACTATACATATTGCGCCTGTGCGGGATAAGCGTGAATTAAGCAAGGACGGGAGTGTTCAAACATGCCAGTCAGTAAAAGAGGAAAGTCTACACTACTTTGAATAAATTGGCTAATTAGATTAGTGTCACGTTACGTAACGTCTATAATAAGTTAAATAGCCCGTATAGCACTGCATGCCGCGATGAGGCTTCGATATGTAGCATTGTTATACATTAATTATTTTGGTAAGATTGGAAGTGTTGAAAACGTTTCACCTGCCAACTGTTTGATTATAAAAAATTGTCTTATAAAAACTACAACATTTTTGTTCAAAAACTGAAAAATCCCTAAAGAATCGTTACAGATCTTTTTGTGCACTTTAGGAACATTTTGTTAAAACATGAACAATATTTTTTATGCCTTGAAAGATAATTTATCATATTGCAGATATTTTTTTAAATAGAGAAAACCGCTTACATTTTTCTCTCCGTCAATTTTTTCTACAAGGCGTAGTGTTTGTAGTGAATAAAATTAAAACCTGTTTCTTATATGATAAATGAAATAGAAACGAGTGTTAGGTAAATTTGTATCTACATACTCTACTACCATTACCTATCGGTAAAATTATTTCTTGTTTTCAAATTATTATCTGGTTTAGTTTTTTTACACTCAAATTATGTAAGAAGATGAAACGTATATTCGTAACCAGTACCGAGGTACCTTTTTGTATCTAAACAAAGCACCATCAACAGGGCTTTTCCTTTTTCTCAACCCAATCTAACTAGTGTGTTCATTTTCCAAATTTGTATCATGTAACTAAAACTTTTAACCTTCATTTCTGTTGATAATACTTATAGAATAGAAAGTAGGATAACTTTACAAAAAGGCACCTATCGAAATGTACACTTACTTCACGCAATTTATCAGAGATGGAACGGATTTTGTCTTCGCTGTGTTCTCTGGTTACAGCTGCCTAAACAACATATACACAAGTCTATACATGCCGAAATACAAGATAAAGAAATAGGATAATGTTCCACAACGCCACAACTCAGGTTATTCTACGTTATCTTTTAACTATCGGGCCGAAATTCGTCCTGTTTGCTATCCAGATTTGGCATTACTTGATTTTTTTAGTTACATATAAAGTTTTCTTTTTTATGGAGCCGATATGCAAAATAACTAAAAATTGTGACATTGTGTATCATGGTAGAAGTTGGAACCCGTAGATTGACCATAACAGAGCTAAAAGAACCAACATATAGTATATACAGGCTAAACATTAATAATGGGACAGCTAGCACAGAGCACCTAGTATGTATAATAAATATATATATAGACATTCCCAATTTTTTCTAGGATCGCTTCCCAAATTACCTCTCTCAGTTGTTGCTCCACCTGTTTTAAGGTGATCGAATATTCGTCCTCTTTGCGTGTGGCCTGTGTTAAGAGTTAGTTTGTAATAAAATCGACAAGACAAACGGAAAACAACAATGTTCGTTGCGCGCACACGTAAAAATAGTGGCAAAATCTAGTACACACCGAGATATGTGGGTGTGGTTTCAATAAAACAATAGAAGTTGTTACTAGAGGAGGAGCTAATAACAAAAGAGAAATTAAATGGTCCATGGGTTGCTAGATTTGCGATGGTTTATGAAAATTATCGGTGTACTTTCATATTATTTCGTTATGCCTGTTACGGATGAGATTTATTTTTACGTGTGCGCGTAAAAAAGCAACAGTACATGCCAACGAACTGCAGCAAGAGGTTAAGGCACAGCAATGTTAGAGAAACACTGCCGTTGTACCTCCTTTAGACGGGTGGTGAGGTTCTTAATTTGGTTTTTATATTCCTCCTCACGTTGATTGGCCTATGCAATATCACATTTCAAATTAATCAGTGTTCGACATAGCAACATGAGTGAAACGAATTCTCCACGAAATTAACGCAAATTTATTAATTTTTTTTCTTATCTTTTGCGTCATTAATGAAATGCATGTGAAATGTAATTTCGTGGAAAACAGTTCCAGGTATATATTTTTTAATAAACGATTCCTACTAAGTACCAAATATGGAAAGATCTAGAATTCTGTGAAATTTGGAAACGAAAAAAAAAAACACATTGTTATATAGGGTGACACAAGAAATGTGGTTCACATAAACTTATACTCGTTTTCTACTACTGGTACTATTAACTAAAAATCCCTAAATCTGAGCGTCATTAACATTAATGATTTGTTTACAATGAACAATGGCAAACCGTTATATTTACGCTCGAGATAATGCGACAGCTGATTGGTTGAATAGAAATCTCGTGAAAAAATACACCAATCACAGCCGGTGAAACAGAATGTTGTGTTTTAATGTAATCTTGATCTTATTGTAATAATTTTTAATTGTACCGAAATTTTATTGTCAATGTGACGAAAATAAATTTACTGTTCCAAACAAAATTACTGGTCACGTGGCTTGTAATCATTTATGAATAGCTAATTTAAAATGAATATTCGTTAAATTCACATTAAATATGTAATTATTTATTAGCATTTAAGTATCTATTAAATAGATTTTTAAAAGCAGGTCACCTAAAAAAACAATCCTAAAAATGCATAATACATAAATTAGCTATGTCATTGCGGTGAGATTTTATATTGATTTTTCTTCAAAGTGATGTTATAGCTCGTAGAATAATAGGAGATAATTTCTTTGAAACTTTGCACTGAGTAACTTAGGGGGTTAGTTTTTTTAGGGGTGTTCCTAGAATACTAATTTGAAATTATAATTTTTTTTAATCAAATAAATACTCGTTATAATTAGTTTTTTAAAATACACTTTAATTCTTTTGTGTACGCCGCCACTGTATTACTCATGTATTTATAACGAGATTGTCGGCAACCTACAGTGCATGAGGCGGGATAGTGTGGGTCAACGGTGACGCATTTGAAGATATTACATCTAAGTGCGAATTTTAATGTTTTTCATCGTTTTTAAATTGCAAACGAACTCCGTATCCTGAGGTCCACATAGTTAAAAAAGTAGCAGGTTACACATTTCAGATTATGCGAGCTTTGAACGACTATACGCGGATATTGGTCGGGAACAAACACAAAGTGTTATAAAAACAGACTACTTATTTTTGTGCAATTCATTTATCATTACTGTTTACTGCTTCAGCTTTTTGCTAGGTTTCTTGTTACGTACTGTTTGTGGTACTCAACGAGAGTAACGAGCGCTAGCGACAAAGAACATTATGCATGCGCGCCGTTATTTGAGGTTACATTAGCTTGTCTAGCGGCGGGGTACGAAAATTACTAAAATAAGGTTAAAAAATGAAGTTTTTACGACTGAATTTGAAAAAAAAAACGTATTGACACATATTTCTAAAGATCAAATGAAGCCTGTGTATAAATATGATCTCCACTCAAAGTTACACCCTTATTACTATACTTAACGATTTCAATGCGCTTTTTCAACGCCAATATTTTATTATAAGATATCCAGAATAGGATATTATACATGTAGAAGCCAGTAACATATAAATAAAAAACGAAACATTAAATACCTTTTATTAAATGGACCGTAAGTTAGAATGCGCTTATTTGAAATCTGTACCTGTAACTTATTTAAAATTGTAAATCCTAAACCCGTTACGAAATCGTTTGAGGCCAATTTTTTAAAATAAAATTACTCATTTTTTTTATTCCAATCCTAACGATATTCTACATCCCTCGGCTTTGCCCACTGCTACTGTTTTTCTCTTATTAAAGATTAATTGAGAAAAAAAGTTTTATCTGCTTCTATAAAGTACAAAATAGACGTTTTTTAGACATTTATTTAAAATAAATAAATAAATAAAATCGTAGCAGGCTTAGGATTTGCAATTTTGAGGAAATCATAGTTTCCAAATATGTATATACTTGGTCTATTTAATAAAAAGTATTTGACATTCATGGTTTTTACTTATATTTGTTAATGACCCATATACCTACAAATGTATATTTGTAAATTTCCAAAAACGTTCTTATGTATACGCAAAGTATTACTCATAATTAGGCGATCATGAAAATTTCAACTCAATCCGTTGAGCGGTTTTCAAACTATATGATTTTCAAAATGCGAATATTTGTCTCAACCGGCAATGCAATGACGTCACCGCATGGGACGGTCAGCCGGCATGACGCTACTTTCAGATGAGTTTCTGCATCTACAGAATATTTTAGCGTTTGTGCACATTAAATTTAAAAATTGAGGAAAATTTCGTAAAAGCATATTCTTCTAATTTGCCAGAAGTAGGTTTGTTAATAGTTATGGATTTTTTAAATAAATACCACGATTTTATCAGTACCGAGATGAGAGGAGTGAAAATGCAAAGGTTACGTTTCAATAACGTGTAAACCTTCTTCTTTAAAGTACGTTTGTAGCGAAAGTTTTGATGTTTTCGTACAATAAGAATAGTAAATAAGAATAAACCAATACATTATTAATCTGTTTCCATATTGCTAACAAAATTCGGTATCTTAACGTACTCAATTGAAACTTAACAGGCAACTATAACCCGACTACCCGACTGACACAACACACGCAAGCATGCGGCATCGGTTTCCCATGCGGTGACGTCACACCCGCCGATTCAGCGGATACTCAGAGCGCCAGTTTATGATTTTTTTTTTGGATGACTTGTAGGCGATATAAAATTTTAATTTTTTGCAGAGAACCTTAAAATTTCAATATCTTTCCGTTAAGCAAATAAAAAAAAATTGCTGAATGAGCCCATTACTGATGCCCATCTTGCGTATGGAATTGTTTCTTTAGCATACCTAGACATTTAATATCAAAAAGCATAACGATTTAATTTGACGATAATTTTTAGAATTAGTCTGAATTGGCTTAATAAAAAATATTAATTTCGCTGAAAAACATTCGCCTGTTAAAAAATTGTACACAAATTATGTCACCCTATATATCATTCTTATTATGAATTATATCTAAAAGTTATAAAAAAATCTTACCTTTTCTTCTGACACTTCAAGGGATTTTAAGTTGTTGCCTACTACGCGGAGTTCTTCCTCAAGTTCTACGATTTTGCTGTAAACAGTTCAATTCTCATTAACATACATATTTTAGTTTTACAAACAATATTGAATATAACTAAAAACGGTTCTTGTATCAAAAAATTTCTTAAATTTCTAGTATATTTTCTCGACCTCTCAGTATAAACGTAAGAACTGACACAAAAGTCGAAGACTGAATTCAAGAATCGTCTTTTGAAAAATAGTTTACAAAAAAATTACATGCACATGCAAAAAGAAAAAAAATATGCGAAGTGCCCTAGTGATTAGGTGTCATGTTTTAACTTTTTTGCCTCAAAAAGTGAGACTTGTTTATTATCTTTTAATTTAGTGAAAGATGATATTTTTTATAGGACACTTTGCATACAATATTTAAAAAAAGCACTGCCCCACCTGTCGCTAATTTCTGCTCTCTCTTCTGCTCTTTCTAAGTCCTGCTCCATCAAAACCAATTTTCGGGCAACCTAGCAACATTGCAAACATGCAGCAAGCAATTGTAAAAAATAAACAAAGTAAAAAATAAACTAATAAAAGTAATATGCAAGTGTTGCGAAATATGTATATTCATTTCATTCGGAAAAATTACTTTTAATTTTTGAAAATCAAAATTAAAATTGAATGAATACTTCAAAAAATGTTTTTTCATTTTTAGAAATCTTAAATTAATAATTCTGAAAAAAATTGTTATTTTCTACGAAGAATATCACACCACTTTTACATATTATATTATTATTTTTAATATGAAATAGCTAGCTAAAAAGTTAACTGTTTTACAATAAATATAATTCACGATTAATCATTTCTGCCTCTTTGAAGTGCTAAAAAAATCAATAAAAAATATAAAAAAAAAAATGAAATGGGAGCCAACTAGACAGGAAAAAGTAAATTAATATCTGGTGTTTTGAATACGGATTAACAATTGGAATAATATCGTCATTAAACTACGAATGAACATAATTGAAATATAACACTGTCTCTATAAATCATTACTTCACATCTTAAGATCTAGTTGGCTTGCATTTCTAACAACGAAAATACTGATTTCATTGATAAAACGCATGCTGCACATTCAAAATCAGAACACTTGGGGTGCGAAACAAATGAAACCTACGATTCGCCTGCTTCGGCACGTTCTTCAGCGCGCTCTAGATCGGCTTCAACCATGGCTAACTTACGGGCTACCTAGACGTAGAAGAGAAGAGTGTGTGAGTACCTTAATAACCAATAATTTTCGCAACAGTTTTAGTGAGAAAAACACACTCGATTGTTAGTTTTCTGGCACCTGGTATTTTCAAAATGTTTATGCCATCACATAAACAATAAATTTAATTTACATAAATAGGTCGAAGTTTTTTAAAGATAGCACAATTAAATTTATGTAATAAAAACAAGTACCAAATCAGGCACATTAACAGATTTGGCAGAAAATTATATTGATATTCCTCCAAATTTTTATCTATACACGGTGTTTTTTTTAATGCCATATTAAGTGTAACTTTTAGATGGGTTGTTTTGTTAATATCAAATTTAACAAGGGATCAAAAGACATGGTCCATCTAATCAGAGTAATTATAATGTCGCTATATGGAAATTTTTTCATATAAAAGAAACATTTTGTTTTTAATGAATTTCAATCTATTTGTAAAAATTCTCGTTCATGTCAGGCTTGATGAGCCTATGATGAAAGCTTCGTTGCCTGGCAAATAAAGTGTCCTAAAAGTAACGCAGTCTCAGCTACACACTCTCCGTACTTGTAACGAATTTTTACCATCTTCAATAATGGCAATAATGTAATTGATCCTAGATTGACCATGGCTTTTTACTGGATGTTAAATTTGATATCACCAATACAATCGGTATAGAACCGTATAACTAAAGGGGGTGTTACAAACAAAAAAAAAAACACTTGTATAGACTAAAAATTATTTTGGTAAGAAAATTTTCCAGAGACATTAACAAATGTATAGCGTACTTCACAAATCTTTGGTTATATTTAAACAACTTCTTGAACAAATTTAAAGAAAAATTGTAGTTTTAATGCATACAAGTACTCTAGTTCATATGATTAGGTTGTGAAATAGTTATATATTATTTTAAACAATTTTTCATCATAATCAAAAACACATGCAATCCAGAGATTTTACAAAAGCATATGATGAAAATCGAAAATCAACCATTATTTCTCGAATATTGGTCTAGACAACTAAAATTATGAAATACCATGGAACATACTCATCATATTTGCAGCCTCCGGCGAATAAACTTTTTTTTGGTCGATCGGAACAATCCAAGTCTGTCCACTCTAATTACTAGACTGTTAGGCAACTGTTCTTTTACTGTAATAATTACTATCCAGTCCAGCTCTGCAGTTCAAGCAACACTCCGGTTCGCGTTATTACTTTTTTTTTATTAACGGAAAATTAATACTATATTAACGTTAACATAACTTTGGTCTAACAGAAGCAAACTAAATCATTAATAACTACCCAATGCTCATGTTTGAAGCTGCTCGCCTTTACCTAGCTCTAATTACAAAAATAAACCTTTCTCTTTTCTACATTTTTATACACTTAATAGTTAAACGTTTATAATTACAATAATTACAATACGCTGTTTAGAAATATGTACAACGGTTGCTCATGGTGATAAAAAAGTTATAACCCTACATGAAAAATCGACTGACTTTTTTAAAAAAGTACGTGGAACTTGAAATACCAACGATTTTGCAAACATGTAGAAATAGTAAGCAATTTAAAAAAAATAATTTTTCTTTACAAAATGTTTAGAAATTGTATATAAAAATAACTAGATTTTGTTGCAATATTTTCAGGGTTGGCAATACTCCAAATTCCGAATAGATGTTTTAAAAAAAATCTATATAAAAACTTAAGACAATTTTATTTTATAGACTAAGGACTTGTGTTTTTGATTTTTAAGCTACAGACATCAAAGATTATTTTTTAACTAAAATGTTTTGAAACCAATCACAAAATGTATTCTACGAGGCATATCCGCAAAGTAAGAAAACTGAAACTGATGCTCTACGGTTTTTGTTTTCGACAAAGTTCCCAACACTGCATTTAAGGCTCATGTATTGAAAGCAGAACGCGCGCTCATTTGTCTTAGTCAGTTGAGAACTGTTGTTGAAGTGACGTATTGAAATGAGCGTCGCTATTCCGAATCACACAAGGTGAACGATTCCTTGACTGTATTGTGACTAACGACGAATCGTGGATGGCTCACGACACTGAGACAAGAACCCGTGTTTCAACCCGAAAGATCATGGCTACTGTGTTTTGGGACCGTAAAGGGATCCTCATCACTGACTTTTTGCCTCAGGAGGAAACAATTAATGCTGCGCGGTACTTTGAAACTCTGAAAACACTACGGAGGGCAATACAGAACAAAGAACGGGAACGTTAAGGAAGAAATTATGCTTATTGTTGCATGACAATGCACGACTTCATATAGCCATCGCCACGAAGCAACTCTTGGATTCGTTCAGAACATTGTTGGAACATCATCAACCACCCTGCTCACAGCCCTGAATTGGCACCTTCTGTATTTCAACTTTTATCTTTTCTGAAGGTGTTTATAGGTGGAAAAAGGTTTTCTACCTACGGCGAGATCAACAGTGCTGTGAAACAATGGGCCTGAGAGGCGGCGAGATATTTTTTGAAGAAGGTAATAGAAAGCTGATCCCTCGGCTCAAAGCACTCTCAACCGACTACTTACGCTAACATGGCGATTACACTTTATAAGCCTAATTTTGTTTAAGTTATATTTTCTGTATTAGATTAAATAGGTACATAATGTACCTAGAATTAAAATTAATTTTACACAAAACTGCTGAAATTGCACCATTTTCGAGAAAAATCCAATTGAGTGTCAAAGTCAAACAATGTCTGTTCCAAAAAATTTACAAAATACGTTCTGTAAAATGTGAATTCTTTTAAAAGGTGTTTTTGTAAATAATAATTTAAAGTTCCATGAACAAAAAATTAATAACACCTTCGATAATAAATATTTTGTCATTTTCGTAAAAATATATTTATCAGCACTAGGTATTAAACAAAATCGTAAAATCAATTTTTTATATATATTTTCTTTCTGTCTATTAACCGGATCTTCAAAATTAGTTTTGCCAACCCTACTAAATTATTTAATCGATTTTCCATGGTTCGTTTCTTGTAATACTTTACAACGATAAATTTTGAAAATCAACCCATTGCTAACTACTTGTTTTTTAAACTATGAATTTCATTTTTCAAAGCTGCATATTTTTTTTACATAAAAATCAACCACTTTTCCAACATACATTTAAATTAGTATTAAATCAAATAAAAAACGCTTTTTTAAAACTACAATATCTAAGGTTAAACGTAAAACCCGTTCTATAGAGACTATTCTTTATATTATCTTTGTTTAAATATTTTTTTTTTTTGAGGGCATATTACTTATTGCCCTCTATTCGATTCGAGTTGAATGTCTTTTATATTTTTAAGTTGCCAATTTACTCAGCAAGAGAAATATTTTATTTTTTTTTATATAATAAATATTATTTTTAAGATTTTATAATGTTTAACACTTTATATTCCCTCCATAAAAATATCAAATACCTACATAATTATTTAAATATATTTTTTTATATTTCTTTTATGCCTTTTCCAACACGTTATATATTAATTCTGTTAACAACTACTTTTTCTTAATATCTTTAAATTATTTGTTCGAAACTCGTGAAACAATTTTCTTTATTTGAGTATAAAGATGCTAAGCCGCCGTGTATACAATTAAATACTCTAAAGCAATAACAATTCAACAGGTCGTAATAACCTATTTACAAATAAATAAGCAAAAGAACCATTTAATACTTTTTGTTTCCTAACCCCAATTAAAAAAATATAGCAATGCCTATTATGCGCTTGAAAGGACGGCGGAAGTCATTCAATTATGTTTGTTCGTTGAAAACATACAAACACGAAAAAACACATATTTTCTGACGATAAACACTCGACCTTTTTATGGAACACTTTTTTTTTCACTTTTCCGCACTCCCCAACACTTTTTACACTGAAAGACATTCCCCATCCCCCAAAAGGCATTGAAAATGTGACGGTACGTTCCACGATATCTTCCAGAAACAAGCGCAAAAACAAACTAGGATCGGCACTGTCAGCGCACACTAGCTCAGAGCTGCTCAGATCACTTAAGCCAAAGGGATCGGCTGCATTTTTTTTTTTCGATTAGTATCACCACGTATTTGGCTATTAGTAACACACAACTAAGTCATATGCATTTTAAAAACCTCATCGTATTTTTTGTCGGCTTCTTCAGCAAGGAAGCGAGCTTCTTTGAGCTGGTTCTCCAAGGCGTCCATGCGCTCTTCATCGGCCAAGGAGCGGTTTTCTAGTACTTTGCGTTGCCTAAGTTAAATACAAGGTTTACATACAAATAGATTAAAAATTGGGGCGTCGAGGTGCGGAAATACTGAAGGTTGTTGGTAAGGTTGGGCGCCTGTACTAGAAATGTCGTTAAATAACAGTAAAAGTAAAAAAAAGTTGCATGACTGTAATTTTGACAGACCATTAATGAAATATTTTTTATATAAAAAAAATTTAATAAACTGATGTTACTAAAGTTAATCTCTGTAATATCAACACTTCGTAACAAATATGTATGCAAGAACAGTTTTTGAAAACCGAATTTATTAATTCGAAGGTTTTTGATTTTTGTAATTTTATCAAATTAAATCGTTTAAAAACTTCCAGAACAAAAGTTGAAAGGTTTTAAAGGGGCCGCACGATAATGACCTTGGTTGTGACCCAGAGGTCAAACTTAGGGGTCATTTGGAGCTCACTATCGGAATTTCAAATGGAACTCCCATTTGTTTTACCCAGAAATAGAAAGAGCAAGAAATTCTACGTTCAGGGGTGTATATTTGAACCTGGGTCAAACTGACCCCTAGGGGCTTGAAGGTCAAACCGGCTTTCCGAATTAAATGTTAATATTTTATGCCAAATGTTGATTAATTTTTGTAGCAAATTCGCACAAACTGCCGTGGCCATGTTTTGTGGTCTAATTGTGACTCTGACCTTGCGCCCTGGGGTCAAATTTAAGGTTATTTGACCTAGGTGTCAATCTGACCCAATATGAAATATACATATCTGCTCTTTCCACTGCTGGATAGAACAAATGGGGTTTCCATATGAAATTCCGAAGTTGACCTTTAAATGACCCCTAAGTTTGATTTCTAGGTCATTATCGTACGGCCCCCTTAAAAGCTTCCAAATTTTGTTCTGTTTTTCAATTGGAGCTCATCCTGCAAAGTGAGTCGGGTTGATCGATTAAAACGGGACACGGTGTATAACACCAAATGACGTGCAGGAAATTAATATGTCAAATTTGTTAAAAAATGTTAAAAAAGCCTTGTTTTTCAAAATTTCGCAAAACATCTAAGAAAAGTAGGTATATTTTTTAATTTTCTTTATATATTCCCTTATATATTTGTATTTATACATAATTATATTTCCATGAGTCAAAATTTCAATTTAATAAGTATTAAATTTTCGGAAATTTTGAGAAATAATGTATTTTTTGCCATATTTTTTAAACAAAACCGAATGACAGTTTATTTTTTTTTGAAAAATCTGTTTTTATTCCATTTCTATCACTCTTTTAAAAAATCACCGTTCCTCAAAGTAACACAGACGTAAACGTGTCCCTAACAGCGATGTTTTTCGTACATGCAACACCGACCTACATCCATCCGATGTATTTATTCCTTATTTGCTAGAATAAGACAAGGATGCCCTGTTGGCGGTGACTCACGATTTAAGCATTTTTAAAATTAACATTCAAGACAGAGCCGCTATACCTGCTCATACCAACAACCGTCAATGTGCACACACTCGACGAATTCGGAGTTACAGACATGGTGTAAGATATTAAAAGTACAATAGATAGTCGATGCTATGCACAAAACTTAATTAATTATTGGCGAGGCGTTCGGTGCATCATCTTCGCTGACCAAGGCCTTGACGTACCTAATGCTGAAAATGAATGGGAGAAAAACATCCTAACGTCCCTAATTGCTGTCTCGTCTGTGCGATGAATTTGAAATTAGTTGTACCATTTCCTTCGCGAAATGCCATTTTTATATGATTTGATTTTTACGTCAAAATATTCGCATCGAAAAAATTTCAAAGTCCTCGCACAAACCGTGTATTCTGTACACCGATCGGACAAATTTCGGCGAGAGCCCGCAACTTTGTCCGATCGGCATTAAGGTGTGGGTTAATGAGTGTTAAAGGGGGCGCTACTATATACCTCTTCGTATTTCTTATCTGCCTCCTCCGCTATCAGTTTCGCTTGGGCCAGTTGCTGTTCCAGGATCGATACTCTGTCGTCTTCCATGTTCGTCCTGTTCTCTAAGGCTTTTCGTATCCTAAGAGGAATTGGTCGTTAGGTCAGTCGAGGGTTAAGCAAAAAAACCGCGATGGGGGAGGTGGAGAAAGAGGCGCGACACAACTGTACTTGGTTTAGAGATAGTTGTTTTTCTCGTACATTATATTTTTTTCAGCTTGAAGTGTAGGAACATATTAAAGTAACCTTCGACTTACAAGTAGACATAGTATATTTAGCTCGATATTTAGTTACAGGAAGTCGTAATTAATTGACTGCATCAAAGCAAGCCTTTACAAACGTGCCACGGCAACGTGTTAACCAACAACGTCTACTCCGGTGGTTCTTACAGTTTTTGTACTCACGTGACAATTTGGCGCGCTTTAGACACAAAATATTGCATTTTGAATTGAATTTCGGATGAAGTACTTTGCGAGACAAATTGTCTATAATCGACTATCATTCCAAGGACAAAATCAATTCCAGGTGTGCAATTTGTCAAATCGTGAAAATAAAAAACCAGAAGATTGCTTCCAGTCTAGAATTATCAATATAGTGAGATACAACGGCATTTTGATCTTTATTCATCAGCTTTCGTCACCTTGGATAGAGATGCGGTAATCAGGACCGTAATAATTTCTTATTTGTGTTGAAAAGCGTATTAAAAATAGATCAAGATCGTGATAAGTATATAACTTAAAAGTAGTAAAATTATTAATTTAAGGAATTTATTGTTATGGTTTTAATACTTCGTAATCCTTTTCTATAATCACTTTAGGTGGTCTAAAAGTTGTACATAGACTTATTTCACCATTTTCATCAATCTGAATTCAAACACGATTGCCAATATGCCGATTTTATATCACCAATACAATGTAATGAAACGAGATAACATAAATTTAAGAAATGTAATTTCGGTAAATGTTTATTTCCAATTTCATATTTTGTTACATTTGTAAATTTAACCAAATCATTTCTTACTAGTTCACACACTAAATATCCGATTTAGGAGTTAATATTCAGGTATTAAATGGAAAACATTTTACCGTGTACAGAGGAGGAATTATAATGAGGTGGTACTGGGCGTTCCATATCACAGATACGGTGAAATTGTGTGAGAAAATATTTGTGTGTTCGCCGTATCAAGTTACGAAAATAGACTGCTTTATACAAACAATATTTATTGCCTAATGGCTAGTGGTATGCCGATGTCGCCCGTAATTGGATTACTGCTAAGATGGCATTATTAGAAAGCCGGAAAGTAAACAAAAGTGGGCAACCTGGCATCACCTTCCAAGATAATTGGGTCATTCTTTTCTTTTTTTCTTTAAAAGATTTAGGAGATACATCACTTGTCGATTTTCAATCGTTTTAAGCAAGGCTAATCGTTATTATTGGCAGTTGTTGGCACTGTCAATTTAGAAACATAGTTAAGACATGACAGAATCACAAGTTCTTTTCTGAAAAAATTAAGTTGTGTAACACTATATACATAACAATTTAGAAATTATCTAGAGTAATTAAATTTGAAACTTTAGTCTTATCTCTTACTATGATTAATAGTAAATATTTATCGTCAAAATCCACAGATATCTACTAAAAAAGGTGTTGGTTTTAATTTTATTGATGACAAGTTTTCTTTTTTCGAATTCCTGCAAAACTTCTGCGACAAAGCACTCAGACAACACAATGTGAACAGTTCCAGACAATACGTCCCGCAAGAATTTTAACGAGATAATTAGATAAGGCAGGAATTTCCAGCTCATGCGCGAGGCTATCAGAATACAGCGATTAGGTTCAATCTAAGGCCCTCAAATGATAAGGATTATCGAAACACGTTAACGATTTGTAAAGCACGCTTCTAGAAGATACGAACTACTGCCGGATTTGATTAGCTTAACAGCCGAACATTAGGACAATTTTATAAATTACCTTCTATTTTGTGTAGATGTAGTGAAAAGTAAATCAACTGAGGAATCGAATTAGTAAAACATATAGAAAAAATAATGTATTTCAAAAAGTAACAGAGGTCTTATACAGAGTTAGTAGTACAAACCCCAGAATCCCGACTAACTCAAATTTAACGAATTATTTACCTATATATATATTTGAGTAAAATATGATACACATTTATTTTAACTTCAACACCATCTTGTATCTCGAAAACCAGTGACACTTGGTTAATTACCTATTTGGCATAAAATAATAAAAATCAACATGCCCTTAAATTGAAGTCTTGAACTTAAAAAATTCCCACTACAATGGCGACGCACGTTAAAAAAAATTAAGCTTAAATTCACTGAAACTAACTTATTTTGGGACACTAAGGATGAAATAATGAATAGCTCCCGATTACTGCTATTTTAAGCCAAAAATATAAAAGTGTTATAAAGAACCGAAGAGAATTCGCCAATTCAATAATAAATCTAACCCTCTAGCGCGCGGTCGAGACCCTTCTTGGTGAGCCGGAATCGTCCGTATCGTCATTGTGAATGAAAATATCTTTAGTCACCAAAAGTATTAAAACGTTACTTTTTTATTTCGTCATTAAACTGAGTGCACTCAAGAAAACTATCAATTCTTGCCTGCTTGTCTGAACAGCCCGCAGACACGAATCGAGAATGCCATAAATGTAGACATAAACACTTCTAAAGATTTTGAAATGCGTGTGGCGCCATTAAAACAATGTTTGAATAGGAAATATCACATTGATAAGTCCGTCTTGACAATTCCCAGTAATATGCGTATAGTCATAATATTAATCCAGGCGACGTGGAAACTAGTGATGTCATCAAAAAAGTCTGTTAGTCACCGATTCTATATGATAGCAAATACAATGTATTCACCATATTTAGAACAACGTCCCTCAAATAACCACACTTATCAGATTTACTAAATCTAGCCTAGATAAAATTTAAAATATACGAGGTGGTCAAATATGCTACTTTTTGGAAGTTAAATGTGATAACTGATAAGGTAGGAGCGTTGTGTGTCACCTCTTTCTCGTTTTGGTTAGTAGGAATCGCGCCTAGCACGGCGACCGATCTGCTCGCGACCGTTCGCGAAGGCGTGAACAAACCTTTCGCTCTCGTCGGCGGCGGCGGAGGCTTCCGCCAATTTGGCAGTGGCTGTGGCCAGACGTTCTTCGGAACGTTCCAAGTCCTCTTCCAAAAGTTGGATGCGGCGGTTGAGGGCGGCTACTTCGGATTCAGCCTGGAAAAAAGAGAACCAAATAAAGTATGCATGTATTTTCTAATTACGCAAGTATGCAGACTGGCGTAAAAGTTCGATAGAATTGTGCTTTTCCGAGTTAACATAGATGCTATATACATATTTGTTTTTGATATATGACAGTTATAAAGACATCAATGGAGTAATAAAATCACATGAAATGTATATGGTTTACAGACATCATTATGTATCGTCCTACAAATAATGTCCATTTTAAATGCACTGTTGAAAGGGATTACCCAAATATTTATGTTATGCCAGAGATTATATCAATATTCCTTGTAGGCACATGGAACTACTATACATTTTTAATGACACACCGGATTTATATCGAAAATGCGTTGATAATGATTAATAACTAATAAAAGAATTTCATTGTGCGAAAACAGTTTTAACTTATTTTGATCAAAATAGGTCTAAAACTTAGTTACCAAAATTTGCCGCCCTGTAAATGCTAAATAAAGCAACTTTAGATAGTGATAAATTTAATAAAATCATTTCATGTTGATCCTATTAATCTGAATAATGGAATAATGTATCTACTCGGAATTATTTTTGGGGTTCCAAATTGAAGAGTTTTGACTAATTTTTTCTCTAGTTTGGTAAATTTTACAATAAAAAGATGTTTTTTGGCATTGAAATATTTGAAAATCTGGGCAATAAATCTCAGCCATTGAAAAGTGGTTGACAAATTGCCTAGCAGTTCAGTGCAGCAATGAGGAATTTGGTACGATTCAGGTAATTTTAATTTATTATAGGCATATTCTATTAATCATTCATATTACAATTGCGAAAAGGAGAAATAAGAGGAATATTTTGTTTACTAATATTATTACAACATGGCATTTTGAAGACCTTTTGAAACGGAACAAGAACGAAATTTTGCCATCAATATAATCAAATTGTTTGAGAATATAAATAATTAAAATATGTTGTTGGCCAAATGAACATATAATAGAAATTTTCTACATATTATAAACAAATTATTATAATTATTAACAATATAATATAAGTTTTGTAGGGTCGCCTATGAAACTCATTAAATTTTATTGCTAGGCCTTTTTATACATAACTGACTTCGGAAAGACTATAACAATATTGTATATTGCGTTACTATTAATACTAAAAGAAAATGATAGAAACATATTTAAAAACCCTAGAAAATAGCTATACTGGGTGTAACGTAAAGGTTGGGAATAAATTAAACGGTGGATTTTTTGGTTTAAAAAATAAATTTTTCTCATATGAAGTTATGCTCTACAGATTTTATTTTCCAAGCTACAGGGCGCTAAAAAGTTTCAAAAAATTTAGTTTTTCTCCAATAACTTTCGAACATTATAAGATAATGGAACGAAATTTTAGCCTTAGCTTAATTTGGTAATCCCCTAGTAACAGGAAAAAGATTGACTTTGTAAATTACTCAGTGGCGTGCGTACGAATTGTACCGTAAGGTTTTTCGAAGAAAATTGTGGTACGCTACTGGTAAAAACATATTTTTTTATGATCCACTTTTTATTTCAAACAAAATTACCCTCGTGTTTTATTCCCAGCTCTTGTAATTTTTCCGTAAATAAAACTTTTGTAAATACCATTTTCCCACTGCTAACAACGGAAAAGAAAAATAACAAAAACATTATGAAGTATGCTTTGACTCAGCTACCGAACATGGTTATATAGGCATTGAAAAAAGATTTTTGCATTGAAAACCATATTGAAAAGCTAAATTTTTTGAAATTTTTTAGGGCCCTGTAGCTTGGAAAAGAAAACCCGTAGAGCATAATTTTATATGACAAATATTTATTTTTTTTAATAAAAAATCCAGCGTTTAATTTAATCCCAACCTTTACGTTACATCCTGTATACTAGGGTATTCACATAACATTGTATTAACTTTATCTTTCATTTAGTCGTCTAAATATCTAGAAAAACAAAATGGAATAAACTGAAGAGATAAAAAGTATTTTAAGTAAGTGGTATTTTTAGTTGCTTAATGCAAAAAATTATAAGTTTTAAAAATGCCAGTGGAGTTTTTTATTGAAAATATTGGTTAAGGGCCCCCCCTGGGACGCTACTAGACTTAATAATCTTAATCTAGTTAGGGCTAAATTAGCCCCTTTCTACCATAAATAACACTGCCAAATTTCAACAAAATCGGCTAAAGGATTATTATAAGATTTTTACGTAAAAACGATTTTTTAAAAAAGTTTGACGCCCTATTTCTTGAAAACGAAGCATTACCGTTTTATATCAACTTTTCGTCTTAAGAATCGCTCAAAAATTCACCCCATGAAGTACTTAAATAACACCCTGTATAAAAAATAAATGAATGTTGCACTTCGGAAATATAAATTAAACTTTTGTTTTTTTATGCAACATTCTTATATTTGTCGTTTTTGGAAGCCCTATGTCTTCTGATTTAGTGATATTTATATCATTTGCCGTAAGAGTTTGCACAGATTTTGGTTTATCTACTGTCACTCCACAATAGATAAAGTCAAGTTTGCCATGCAACCAGTGCATATATTTATACTTTTCCACTGTTAAATTTACTAAAAAGGTCTTTAAATATTTTATTTAAAAAACACTATTTATGATAATTCCTGTAACACTTGTTTATTTTTAACGTATTGTAATAATACGAATCAATATATATTTTATTATGAAATGAAACTATCGTGGTTGCTTTGAATCAAACCTCTGCTGTATACACGGAATGCGCCAGCCAAGTATTTATGTGCCCTTGAATAATGTAATTTATGGGTATATACAAAGATGTAGCTCAGGATGCCGAAACAGAGAGGGTGTTCTTTGAGACAGTGGTGCTTGGCCAGCGCCCGAATAAGGTCGATTATATCTGTGTGCTAGCTTGAATATATTTGTTTAATGATTTGTGAATTTGTGAGTAATATGCCATACTCGTTTATGTTTTTGAAAACCCCAGGGCATGCCACGTGTTCCCGGTCTTTATGGCTGTGGTTCCTTCAAAGTGTGTCTTGTAAGTTCTACGGGGTCTTGCATGCGCTTTGATTGACACATACTGGGTGGTGTTGAGTAGGTGGCATAATAATAATAGTGTGACTCACACACCCGGTAGTTGGGATGCTAACTAGTTGGCGTCCGGGGGAGCCTCGACTTATTTCAGGTGACACTAGCTAGTTGTTGAAGAAAGAATGATACATAGTTGCTAATTAATGTAATGGAAACGTATGGAAGGATATACCTTGAATCCTAAGGTTAGGGGGAGTATAACCCCCCGGTGAGTTACCTATTTATTTGTTTTTATTGACAGAACAGTAATTTTGTTATTTGTTTCATATACCCTCTTAATTTCTGACGAATGACCCCGCTGTTGTCGAGATAACTGCTTTGTGATGACCCATGTATAAAAGGTAACAATACCAACAATAACATCTATTTTACATTCAGGTGTGGGGTCGCACAAACTGTTTGTCTTGACAACAATAAGGTGAGGGTATTTGTTGTGTAATATTCATATTACATGAAAATTATAAAAAATGATGCGACTGTTCGAGTATGGGCAAAGACTGGCTGGCGGCTTCGACCGTTATCGAGTGTTTATATTTCAAATTTCTTAAACTAAGTGATGAATGATTAATTATGGGATAGGGACGGGCTGTATGCTCTGAATATTTGTTTACATTCTTTAGTATAGTTTAAACCAAACACCACGAATTTTGCTATTGTGTTAATAATTGAATACTCATTATTCGACACGTTGAAGCAGTGGCGTACTAATAATAATTATTAGGCTGTTTTTTTAAAACGAAAAAGTGCAAAAGAAAAGCATAGGTGAGTGTGACTGATTGAAGATTGCAGAGAGAAAAATGTGTGGTACCTACTATTCTATGCTTAGAAACTTCTATTTCGGAACTGCATGTTGCTTTAATGCATCTCTATGTGTTGCATATTTGTATTTAGCATGCTACTTTCATTCTTCAGAGGGTTGCCACAAATGTATGTATGTCTCAACTACATTGCTGAGTGATGAGGATGGAGTCGCACTGCCCATTCTATTTGATAGCGAGTCGGAATAAGTTGCGGGGACGCAACCAATATCAGGTTGGCCGAATGTAACACTTGTTTATTTTTAACGTATTGTAATAATACGAATCAATATATATTTTATTATGAAATGAAACTATCGTGGTTGCTTTGAATAAAACCTCTGCTGTATACACGGAATGCGCCAGCCAAGTATTTATGTGCCCTTGAATAATGTAATTTATGGGTATATACAAAGATGTAGCTCAGGATGCCGAAACAGAGAGGGTGTTCTTTGAGACAGTGGTGCCTGGCCAGCGCCCGAATAAGGTCGATTATATCTGTGTGCTAGCTTGAATATATTTGTTTAATGATTTGTGAATTTGTGAGTAATATGCCATACTCGTTTATGTTTTTGAAAACCCCAGGGCATGCCACGTGTTCCCGGTCTTTATGGCTGTGGTTCCTTCAAAGTGTGTCTTGTAAGTTCTACGGGGTCTTGCATGCGCTTTGATTGACACATACTGGGTGGTGTTGAGTAGGTGGCATAATAATAATAGTGTGACTCACACACCCGGTAGTTGGGATGCTAACTAGTTGGCGTCCGGGGGAGCCTCGACTTATTTCAGGTGACACTAGCTAGTTGTTGAAGAAAGAATGATACATAGTTGCTAATTAATGTAATGGAAACGTATGGAAGGATATACCTTGAATCCTAAGGTTAGGGGGAGTGTAACCCCCCGGTGAGTTACCTATTTATTTGTTTTTATTGACAGAACAGTAATTTTGTTATTTGTTTCATATACCCTCTTAATTTCTGACGAATGACCCCGCTGTTGTCGAGATAACTGCTTTGTGATGACCCATGTATAAAAGGTAACAATACCAACAATAACATCTATTTTACATTCCATCTTGCTTCTAGACAAAGGGAATTTAATCTACAAGGCCGATAACAAAGGGCACTGCCATTATAAAAA